CTAGCGCCAATTGCTTCTACTTTTGAGATAGAACTACGTACACAGCCATTGTCATTGGCTGTGTACGTAGTTCCATCTCAAAAGTGGAAGCAATTGGCGCTAATGTACATACGGGGAGGTCAAAACTTTTACCGGTGTTGCGAAAAACGCCGGGATGACCGCTCTCATACCTCTTTCTGGCGTTGACGTCGCTGACAATTTGAATGTGCTTCTCGAACGCGTTTATAGGGCAATAAGATGCAAATGCATCGATGTTATAATGAGAAACATCGATGTATCAATTAATCGAATTTTAAAACATCGATTATTTACTAAAAAAACATCGATTCTAACATAATCGATGGTACATCGCCCATCCCTAGATCTGAATCGTAACTAAAAGTATCGATTCACCAAAAAATCAAATGTCAAAGAATCGATTTAGCTAATTGTAAGATCGATCTAAAAAATCGATGTCTAATTGTTTAATTTGCATATAACAGATACATTATTGGTTTATTTTTATTTCTTTAATATATTTTAGATTATAAAAATTAATAAATATATACATACTTTGCAATTTTTATATTTTATTGCACAAGTTTTTTAATTTTATTATGTAACGTACATAAAACGCCTGTAAGAATAAGTAATGAACATACATAAAATATACATATATATGTAATTACACGTAATAACGCCATTAGGCCTCTATTCTATTATAATATAATAACTTCTATCTAATGATCATATGAACGAAATCCAAATGTTGAACTTACAAACAAAACTTTAGTGTGCTAAATGCCAATCAGAAATATCTAATGAACTTAGAAATAATAATCGGGATAACCGGTCACCTTTCAGACGGCTACGATTATCCGTCATAATATTTCCTGTTCGTGAGAACATTCGTTCCGATGGAACCGATGTCCCTACTACAGACAAATATTTAAACGCTATATTGCTTAAGTGTTTATTTATATTTTTAAGGGAAACCCAATATTCTATTGGATTAGTTTTTAATAGTAGAATTGGCTGACTTAAGTAATTTTTTAATTCTATATGTAAAGATCCAGAATTATTTTCATTCATGTTATTATTCGTTTTAGCTATTAAAACGTTATGATTGCACCACAGACTTGATGTCTCATCTTCGTCTACTTTACTTACAATTAGTAAAGAAGATTGAACCTCATTGTGTTTAATAAAAACTTGTGTTAGATCTTTAATTTGTTTATTTTCGAAATGGCATTTGCACATGCTAAATTAGACCGAAAATACATTTTTTTAAAACGTGGATCCAAAACTGTGGCTATGGCCAAAAGTTCATTGTTTTCAATAAAATAAAACCGAGAATCTATTTCACGCAAAATGTATGTTTTAAAATTTTTGCCAATTTCTGATTCTGGCTGGAGCTCATGAATCTTATCATATAGTAAATATACCAATGGTATAGTTTTACTACTAGTAACATTTTTTTCTGCGCAAATTTCTTTTGTCATTTGCTCAAATGGTTGCAACATTTTTATGCACTCGTTTACAGTTGCAACCTTAAAAACTCTCAGAATTTTTGGCGAGTTTTTTAATTTTATAAGTACAGGCGTGATATGATCAATTAATTGTAAAAATCTTTCTAACATATAAAACGTAGATGACCAACGAGTCGAAATTTCTTGAATTAACTTTAACGGTGTTTCAAAAAAATTCGCTCGTTGAATTTTTCGAAATTCATCTGCCGCAACGACGCTGTGTTTAAAATAAGTCACTGTTTTTATTTTTTCTATTAGACTTTTCAAATCCGGGAGATTATTAAACATTTTTGCGGGGATTAAATTTAACGTGTGAGAAAAACACGATAAATGTTTATCATTGCCGAAAACTTGACGGACCGCGCTCACTATATTTGCACCATTATCCGTTACTACAGCTTTAATTTTTGATATTGGCATGTTCCAATTATTACACACGGATAATAGTACTTCTCCTAAATACTCTCCAATATGCCACTGATCTAATTCAAAAACACCCATCGTTGTGGACGTTAATACGTTGTTATAAATATAATGGGCAGATATGCCTAAAAAGCTGACCGTATTCAACACTTCCGTCCACACATCACATGTCAGTGTAATGCTCTCTACAGTTTCAAGTTTTTGCTTGACTAAAAGTGACAAGACCTCATATTTTTTATCCATTAAATCCGTAAACTGCTGGCGTCCTGGGATCTTGTAGAGTGGAGCGAAAACCTTTAATAAATACCGACAACCCGCCTTGTCAACGGAATTTAAAGGCATATTATCCTTTGCGACCATAAATAACAGAGCGTTTGTGATTTCTGCAGTTTTAGATTTACCATCTGCAAATATAAAAAATAAGTCAATTATTTTATTATAAAATTATGGCAGATATAGACGTGTGCTCAATTATTATAAATATTCTTTATACAATAAAAAAGAAAGTAATATACTAAATATATAGATGAATAAAAAATAAAACTTGAAAAAATTTCTTGTAAGTTTATAAGTTTTACTACAAACATTATAATTCTTTTAAAAATCGATGTTTGATTATACTTTTTCATATTTCTGTTTGTATTTGTAATTATCATAATGTCGTTTTTTAAATGTCTGACATAATCCAGATATAGATTTAGAGCAAGTATACATTTTATAATATAATGAAAGCTTATGTTATTATATGAACAGTTTATCTTCGAATGATTTTATTTTAAACATAGCATCGCTAATGTGTGGCTGCGAATTGTGATAATTACAACTTTTTAAGTTTGCCACTTGCGGATTTGACGTAGAGACTGTAGAGAGTGATTTTTCAAATATCGCTGCTTTATCCTACAAAGACATTTTACTTTTTAAGATATTTTACAAATTTATGATAAAAATGCATAAGCATATACATGTTATACTTCTGTAAACAAATTACAATTAACAAATTTACAATAAACAAATTAAAAACAATTATTTGCTACCTGATTCGTCTGCGACGACGAATGAATAATTCCTGTACTCGTACTTGGAACTACAGTCTGCAAAAAGTATTAAGGAGAATATAAAGCTAATGTGACTTACACTTTTATATTTATTTATATTTCATTAATTTAAATAAATAGTTATTGAGTACTATTTTTATAAATAGTAAACTATAATTATAGTTTTTCGAAATCTAAATTGAGTAATAAATATTATTACTCGATAATGTATTACTATCGTTTCTCTTGATCCAATATTTTACATTGTGTTGAACTTATTTGTATTTTACTGTCGTAATTTCGACTATCTATCATGTTATTGTATGTTAACATTTATAAAAAAAATATTTTCATCTTTTGGATAACTTTATTGATCTGATCTATCACGGATATGTATTCATTAATATCGAGTAGTCAAGGATCATCACGAAGTTTGCAGTTCCCGATCACAGAAGTCAAGCTACGTTGGTGGCGGTCGTGGCTTGGATGGATGACCGTTAGTTGAAAAAGTGCGATTAAAACCGATTAAAAAAAAGTAATCCATTTCGATTGGGATATTTATTATTGTACCAAGGTTTGGGAG